ATGGCGAATATTTGGAAGTACTATTTTATAAACAAATAGACTTAACTAAACTCGTGCTCGAAATTAATAATTTTCGAGTCTAATAGTAAAGTAAAGTAAGTAACATAAGTTAAATTATTGAATCGTATAACACCATCTCTAATCATAAACTATAACTATGATTTGTTGAAGTTTAAGCCTAATCTACGGGAGCAATATTTTTATATGATAGGTTGCACTGTTGTTGCATCTTAATTAAGTCATATGACTTAAACTAAAAATACTAACTGTGTTGTTAGTGTACTAATTTAACAAAATATATTTAATAAATCAAATTTATATAGTTTCATTGCTTCATTCGGTTATACAGAGTTACATATATAGAGATGTTAAATGTAATAAGTTTTCTAAAAAGTAAGTCAAATAATAAATTGGTTCTTAATAATGAACTGGAGTTATTATTAATATAATGCCTATGAAGATATCTTTGATAACAGCATCTTCAGATACCGAAAATGAATCTATACACATATACATATATTGTAATGTTTGGTTCGTATATATAGGCAGGACATTTTATATTCTTCAGTTTATCAAAATTAAGTGTATAGAAACTTTTAAACTACATTTCAATTCTCATAATTGTAATATTAGTGTACAAAATAATTTGTCATAGTCATTTAATATATGTTACACAGTCTGTAAAGGAAGAAATAATTACCATTACCATTTATGACTATGATTAATTGAAATGCGACTAAATAATTTATTCATAATAATCATATTATTGGAACTCATTTGATTAATATCTTATTTATTTACATTCAAATTTATGATTTATCGATTAACCAGAATAACCTGTATTTTCTCCGTACCAAATATAATAGTATGTGAATACCTAATTTTATAACGATTAAGCGTTTAGGCTCACAGAGTATAGACTATAAACGAAGAAATTTTCTTACATGTTCATAATATTGGCCAAGATCTGTTGGATTCGTTATTATTGACGGCCTCGGTGCTCTAGTGGTTTAGCACACCGCTTTACTTCCGATGATCACGGGTTCGAATCCTCGCACGGCACAAACATTTATATTCATGAGTATGATTGTTGGTATTTTTCTGGGTACTTTCTATGTATAATATGTCCTATATGTATTTACGAAAAACGTATCTATGTTTTTGTATCAGTTATTTAGTACAACAAGCTTCGGCTAGCTTAACTTGGGTCTAGATGGCGCCATGTGTATTGTCCTGAGATAATAGATTATTATTGATGTCGCCATAACCACCGGTTATATGTAGTATACTTATAACTGAAACATAGATAACAATACAAGCGATGTGCACAAAAGTCGATGCATATAGCTCAGGGCAATTCCACTAGGCAATCAATGCCTTTGTTCATGACCATTGCAGTACCAGTTGGTATTTCTAAATTTAGTTTTATTCAACGGATTTTATTTTCATATTAAACTTTATGATTAGTTTTGAATATTAGCAAAATCATTAAACTGCATGATTAATTGGATCAATCAGTGTTAGCAATTTGATAGTTCAACGATCTATGTGCTAAAAGGTACCTGTGTGACATGTTTGCCAAAATTTATCATTTACATGTCAGTATAGCTTAATTGGGGATAAAATTAAGTTATGGACAATAGACACTCTTGTACGTACAAAATCGATGGTTCATTAGCTAATTATTTCATCGAAACTGCATGGAGAGGACACTTTACTATGGGCATACACTTGCAAATAAAATTCAGGTACTTATTTTATATACTGTACGGACAAACAGAATACAGGCTTTGGACTAGATACTTACTTTTTTAACCCTGGAAAATTCACAAAGTGGGATCTCATCTCAAACTACGGAGATCTACGTTACGGGTACTAAACAACTATTTAAATACATTTTTCCTTTGTAAGTACATATACAACATGCTTAGAAAATACTCAGACCAATACAAACTTCAGACCATAGGTCCGTGGTGCTGTTTATGTATATAGTTGACAGTTACCACTCACCGTAAGTTGAGCCTTGAGAGTTGAACAGCCTATTAATCAATTGATTTACGTAAATAAATATGTATACATCATACAAATGTTAACATATAACATTTGCATGATATATACAAATTTTATTGTAAATTTTAGTTTGTCGAAAGTTTGGGAGTGTGAGGATGAGTGTTACTCTTTCACGCAAACACTATAGAACAGATTTTCATTAAACTTTACATTATTCCAGCTCACATGTCAGAATAATACATAGGCAATAATTTAAAAAAGATATTATGTAAATTGGGTGAAATATAATGATAAATATCAAGTGTGATGCAGAAGAAGTAGCGCAGGTCTGTTTGTAGAATATATTTTTCATTATCCATTTCATTATCCTACGTAATTCAAATCTAAACATAAAAGTCTATAAAGCCTTTTGTATTTTTGTTTCGGATATCAAAAACATCATATAAACTTATATTTTCAAATCTAACTCTTACCAGTTAGACCGATATGATATTGAAACCTTCAAGAAAAGAGCTTATTCATTCTCAAAAAGTCAATAAGCCACTTACTATTCCAATAGTAACGCGGGGTTGCTTATGGGTGGAGTTAATTACTTACCATCAGGTCTGCCGCTAATACATTTACCCCAATACTGTAAAAATTATTATAGACTTGATTTACTAAATAATAGATAGCCAGGATGTTATAAACACGAATGATCGTAGTTAAATTTTACGACGACCTTCGTGGTCTAGTGGTTTAGCACACCGCTTTACCTCGGATGATCGCGGGGTTCAATTTCTTGCACGGTACAAATATTTGTAATTTTTCTTTGAATATTATGTACGTCTTTATAAAAAAAAGCGAGTGTCTATGTTTCTATGTCAGTAGTCTATAATCCATAATACATTCTCAGCATAAATTGGGACTAGATGGCGTTGTGTGAATTGTAAAAGGATATTATATTACATTGTTATTGTTATTTTAAGAAACGAATAGATATATATGTATAGATATATCATGAGGGTACTCTGTATATGTATATATTATGTTGCCTTACTCCACCAATTGCATATTCAGTTTAATTTTGCCTTAATCTGTTTGTCAAGAAGATTTTCAATTTGAATGGAAAATCTACACAATTGCTACGTACGAGGGATGAATGGAAATCAGTTTTTTCATGAATATAGATTATCCACGCCGTGGGTCGTCCATCCGTCGGTCTGTAGGTCCATCCGTCAGTTTCTATTAGGTCGATACAGCAAATGACTCGTGTAGGATTCGATTACACCGCGTCACTTAATGTCGACGCTAAATTGCTCTTTTGACTAGTTATTCGAGATATTTTCCACTACATCAGTACTTCTAAATGTAAACGAGATTCTGATTACATTGATAACCTATTTGCAATGATTTAAAGTATAATGTATATTTTTTTACTGTATAAATATAATATAATAAAAAGAATTGATTCATTTGCAACTGTTATCCTAAATAGGGTTATCAGAACCACCGTTTTCGACATTGCGTAGTGGTGAACGGAATTTTTGACAAAGTCATTTCGCTGATAAGGTATATTGAATCACAGTAAAAGACTGCTGTAAACGGCAAGCCTATAGAATACGAGTAACCTAGGAATTGGCTTTTGTCTCATCATACATACATAAATGCTTCGATATCAAATGAGCAATTGGGTTTTAGGATACAAGACAACTTTTATAATGTATTAAGGTTATTAATTAAGTCAGTAAAATATCCACTTACAGCAAACTAAAAGTTGCAATTCTTACTTTATTTTTCCACAATAAAGTCTTTGTATTAATCTTTTCAATACTCCTTAACTTTCGTACTTAAAATATTTTTCCTAAACTAAAGTTAAGCTAAAAGAGTTTTAGATTGACACTTAAAAGATAAAAAATTTGGCCGATTTATGAACAACGTTCATTAATAATTAAGTAATGGAAACCCAAAGTTTTTTTACTTTAGTTATAATAGAGTTACTTTTCAGTGGATCCTTATTTATGAAAGTGCCATGTGACTTATCCGATCTGATCTTAGTTCAACCAGTTTTTTATATTTGGAAGTTATATAATTGGAACAAACAAACTGACGGGTTGCCGAACAGTAAGTGGTAACCGTTGCTTTATATATCTACTACGACATATTGTTAAAATGTGATACCCATTAGTACTTAGTCATTCGGAAGGATATCAGAGGAGTCGTCTCATGTGATATCCTTCCGAACGACTAAGATGTCCTACATCTTACAAAATATGCATCTTGGCGACTAAATAAGTAGATAACAGTACGAATCCAGATAGACTACTTTTAATAAAGTCGTTTCGTTTGTGACTTATTATACCACAGATTAGATATATGGTATTACATAGATTAAGATGAGTTACATAGTGATAATTAACTGAAAAACAGACTAATAGATTGATACATTGCTATTATCAAAATTCTACTTCGGTAATAAGTAATTTGTAATTTATTGAACAGTCAAAAGACTTAACCGATTTGGGTGCGGATTTCATTAATGTATTGTGGAAAACTTCACTTTAAATATCATGTTTCATTTATACTAATCGGTTCACAAATGAAAAAGTTGTACAGGACAAAGTCGCTCAGCTAAGGTTAAATAAAATACGAATACCTATCGATTCAATATTATTGAATGTAATAATTAGTTAAAACCTTTTTGTCGTCTTGTTTTTGGATAATAATGTTACAATATTTAAGAAACGCCAAACAAAGAATTCAAAATGTAAGACCCAGACACCCTGAACAATTTAAAGAAGCTCTCTGACCCTAGGAGCTTTTTTACTTAAAGCTTAAGTACGTTGATTGAAAAAAATAAGCAAATAATATACAACTGCTCTACAGGGGTCGTCAAAAAAGTTGTTTTGTTTCAGCGGAGGATATTGCACTCACCTTTGCTAAAATGGAAGTGACATGGATGGACGCTATCGCGCTATCACCGTTTATCAGAGCGTCGAGCAGTGTCGGCTCGCCGGCGATGTGGTATAGACGCCCGGTGTGTATTGTCGCGCGAACAAACTACGCGTTTGTAACTAACTTTACTAGATACAAGGTAAGATTCCGTTATACTAAATTGATTTCATGTATTTTTGAAGTAAATATCTAATTCAATATATAAATTAAAATAATTACGTTGATTTTATTTTAATAGAATATAACGTTATAGTCATTGTATTATTGTATTATCATTGTAACTTTAATGTTACATGTACCATGTTATTAAGCTTTATTATGATTACTTTTTGAAATAACCACATAGGCATATATTATTAATTTCGTAAGTATATTTCTTTTATGGTTAATAAAAGCAAAGATTACTTACGAAATTTTAGTTTGTTTTATTTTTATGTTCCGTTTAATGTAAATTTAGAATAATAATAAAATCCATTCCATGTCCAGATATTAATAATAGTTAAGAACTAATACAAAAGTATGTGCAAAGTTTGTTTTCCTAAGTTAATTTTATTGGCGTTTATGAGTACAAAACAGTGAACTCTTAAAAGTTCGTTATAGTGAAAGTGCTTAAGTAAATTACAGCAATGACTTATAATTATAGCCGCAATCAGCAAAAACTTTTATCATTAATTCCCGGATGGTTCTCGTCACCAAATCATTTGCTTAGTCTTTTAGTACTAATTAGGAAAGAAGACTTTCTTTAATTACTTTACTCTATAGCAAAAAGTTGTCAGCTATGTTATTAACAACGTTTTTGTAAAATACTAATCTTTATCTTTTTTCTCAAGAGTTTAATTTATTTTGAAAATAGCCTATTAATTCAAGTTTGTAACTTAAGAAATATATCGAAGGTTTTCTTGTTACATGTGTGAACTTTGAAATTATATTAAACCGCAAACCGATACGATGGAGTTCTACAAATTTAATAAAACTTTGTAAGCGAGCACATAAGTCTGGATTTCCAAATTAAATTATTTCCAATAAGTAAACATGCAACTGATCACTGGGCTGCCACCGGTTTTGAATACCTTACTGTATACGTAATGTGGTAAATTGATGTTATACTACCAACATACGGCTATATATGTCGGTAGTTAATTGTTAAATATAGAAAGTCCGCTTTGAAGGCTCAAGGTCTAAATTAATGACTTTTTAATTCTATAAAAATAAGTTTAATTCAATATTGTGAATTTCAATGCACTATAAAATCTTCACTTTTACGTTCAAAGACCGTTAAGTAATGTGCTCGTACTTTTTTCGATTTTCACAAGTTTTGTTTAATTAAATGGTGATAGAATCCATAAAACATAATTCCTTATATTGTTACGTATCATCTTGGTTATCTAATTTAGAATATTACCTCATTTTATGATGGTTGGCAGGTTCAATCTCGATCAAAATGATAATACTAAAAAATATTTAAGTAGGTAATTCTATCGGTTGACTATCAGTAATAAGAACTCGATTTTGTTTGAAACTGCATGATATCCAATTTACTACAATCCAAAACACAATTTTTTTTTTTATTGAACTATATACCGAGTAAAAATTTTGAGAGTTGAGAATCTCTAAAATATCAGAGTGCATTAAGTGTAACGAAGCATCACTTACAAAGTATTGCTATTATGTGTCATCATTTATGGAATAAAAGCCCACATCCTTAGTGTCTGCTCAGACAGAGGTCACCAGCATCACTGAGACCACATTATTAACGTTTGTATTTTTCCTCCAAGCGAACTGAGCTCAGTTGAAAAATGAGGGAGTCAAGTATCTCGCATTATAGGAGAAGATACGGAAAGGAGTATTATTAACCACATATAAAATACGGTAGGAGCTATTTAGATCTTTCGTCATATCGGCCTTAATAGCCACTGTAACAATTTAGGATTTTACTGCACAAAAAAATTACTTAATCATCAAAATATAAAATATAAAGCACAAATGTAACATATTTTAAATATGAAAATGTTTCGTCTCTGTATTTGTTTTATAAAAGGTAACAACTTATTCATAACTACTGGATGGGTATTGATAAAATTTGACGTAAAGATAGATTGCATAAAGAGAACGAATATAGGTCGCATTAAAAAAAACCTACAAAGTCGCTCGAATCAGCTACCCTATAAATTTAAATAAGAATCACCATACCTATTCATAAATATGCAGAGTTGAAAAATAATTTACGTACATTACTATTTAAAGGATTTCCTGCAAAAAACATTACATATACAATATAATTTGTATCTCTAATAATGAAAATTTTACAAAGATTGTCAATAAAGAACTTACTGAAATAATGAATATAAGTATTTTTATCTAGGTTGTCATAAATCTATTTGTTATATTACTTTCATTATATCTATTTATACTCGTTTCAGTAATAAAAATACATGTAACCCTGCATTTTGTTTCCTGGCAATATTTTCTCTATTGATAAAGGAAACAAATTTTTTTTTTTTTTAATTTTGAACTAATTAAATTAATTTATACATAAATTTATGTATATTAAATAAAAACCGTAAATGTAATATTACTTCTTTGTGGTTATCTTCTAATAATAATAATAACACAGGACAATTCATTAAGCGCAATTTAGTAGCAAACTAAGTACATCTTGTAGAAAATTGAAATGTATGTTTTAAAATATCATTATCTGCTTCTTCCTTATCCTATTCATTTGGTCGGCATATTATGTTTTATCTTTTATTCATCGCTGTTTGCAGTCATCCCTTTCTTGCCAAATCATCTTTCACACCATCGAAATAGAGATGCCTTGTACTTATTTGGAACATACTGTACATAAAAACAAGCGGAGACATCTTCTATAATACAAATAGAACTGAGTTAGAATCGCACCAGATGGCATTGTAAGTAAGGTAGTAAGATAAGGTTTGCTAAGCTAGACCACTGAGTTCCTAAAAGGCAGGACCTCAGTGGTAGAAGCAGGATTGTTAACCTTAGACCATTTAACCACGTGCAATAAATAACAGATATGATAAAATCTCCTGTTTTAGCTCAATTTAGCGCTCTAAAGTAGTTGTATTTAAGTAATTTGGCTAATTTTAGTAGATCAAAATATCGTACAGAGTTGAACGAGAAGAAATATATCCAATAAATAATAATTATTATTATTATATTATATGACAAATAAGTATTATTATATTTTATACTCACATAATGCCAAATATAAGTAATAATATCAACCAACATTGCCTAGCAAAAATGCCGGGGGAAAATGCGTATTTTCCCCACATTTCCCTGTTATGTGACTGTTTACCGTTGAACCATTTATTTCCTGACTATAATATGCTACGATGTATTTGATTCTCAAATTCAATTTTCTTATACTGTAACTATCCATATATATATCCACACTATATAGTATATCTATATTATCGATAATGAATATGTAACTTATCGCTATCTGTATGTAGAAGATATACCAGAAAAACTATTATTTGGGCATTATTTCATCCTAGTATAATCCAAAACAAAATTTCCAAAAATCCATGATTTTTATATAATTTGTCTATTGGTCTAAGCGTTTATATAAACTAATCTGAGGAACGGCTTAACAGATTAGGGTGTAGTTTTCACTAATGTGTTATGGTAAGCTTCACTTAAAGTTTCGTGTTTGTTTTGTTTCCACCAGACTCCAGGAAAAATGTATACTGGTACGAAGTCGTGAGCTCAGATAGTATGAGAAAATGCCCAGTTGTGAAACATCACACATTTGTAGTATTATAAAATAAATTTTTAGAAGTAAAAGTGCCATATCACTACATAAATTGACCATTAAATTAAGGAAACACCTTAAGTAGTAAATACATTGGATATGGAAAAATGCAACTATAACATAATGCAACTGTATGACGTTCCACAGTTGAGGCCTTTTTCTGAAATAGAATATGAGTGTACTATTATAACAATGGTTAGACGGCTGGGTATGAAATTTAATTCGATTACTGCAAATTTGCTTCAAATTTATCAGATAAGTAATGTAGGTCTTTACGAAAACACTCCCAAAATTCATCAATTAAATTATAAGGATCTTATTGAAAAATTTATAACTTAATATTAAGTGTTTCCTGTGTTGTAATATCCCAATTTTCTAATTTATTATAAGAAAATTGGATTATTGTTACATAATCGACAAGTCAATTAAAATTTTTAAAGAAATTAAGTTTTTGTTCCTGTAATATTATATCACAAATAGTATTAAGTTTCAAAGTTAGAAATACTAATAATTTCAGTGATGAACATCATTTCATGATAGCTTGTTAATTTAGTAAGGTCGTATAAAATGTATTTGAACTGATTTTAATAGCGTATTTATACTTAAGTTACCATAACATATCAACCCATATATCTTATAAAACTAGGATACAACACTATAATACCTATATTTATAAGATATACATTATATCTATAATATTATAAACATGGTCCTACGTAATTCACGATAAATTTCGTCTACGTTATATACTACTTAAAAAAATCGAATGAAAACAATAACAAAGGAATATTGATATATTTCTTTAATTAATTTTTATATAAATTTAGCACACCGGACATATATAGCAGGACAGGTACTGGAGACATCCTACGAGTATGAACCTGTAATGCACTGTCGCCTATATACATGAATACCCCAAGGTATTCATGTATGTAGGCGACGGTAGCCAATCACCATTAGGTGCATCATCAGCATCTTAGTCATTAAATTAAATATCTGTTATGTAACTGGAATGATAAATGAAAACTTAAACTTAGGAACAATGTTCTTTAGACTGAAAGTGAGTTTCAAAAGTACATATTTGTATCCGGTTTGGTAGTGTCCAGTATTTTGACCACATAACATAAAATGGTACTTACTTTGGGTTAATGCAGATGTCAGACACAGAGCACCAGTACCCTTTAATGAAAACATGTCTTAAAGTAGTGACCGTAAGCAATCAAACACAGTGAGAGTAAATAAAAGTTAGTACAGTACGTAGTTCATTGGAAAATTTCTGCATGTTATGAAAGATGTAATGCTTGTTAATAAAAATCATGCACTGTTATGTATGTTATTTTATTATAGAACCTACGAACTTA